GAGATTCTTGGATGTCAAGGACACGAGGGAGCTGGAAAGGAATCTGGATCAGATATGGATAAGAGGTAGGAAATTATGGGTGAATCTCCCAAGATATGAAGAAGGAAAGATTGAAAAAACGGGGAGTAGGTACCGTAAAATTGCAGAACCAATAATCCAAAATAGAAGTTATGCCGAGGTGGTGAAGGGCCAACCAATGAAGAAACAAACGGAGGAAGGAAGAACACAGGTCAGAAAACAGGAAGAAAAGAGACTAGTGAGGAACATAAGTAGAGACTGCTCAAATCAGCGAAGTGAAGAAGCTAGGACAATTTGGCAAGAAAAAGGAATGGGAAAAAGTTGGGTGGGCTTAGAATATAATGCCAAATCGGAAGATTATGCATGGCTGGAGGGATGCTTTGTGGGATTGGTACATTCTGTGGAGATGGTTTGCAACTTACAGGAGAAATTCTATATGGAAGGTTATTTTTTTTGCCGGATTCGAGCCATGGGTGGTAGAATGGTGCTGTTATATTGTGAAGATAAGGAAGAATTGAAGGATTTGGTGGAATTAGCTGCGGACTGGTTAGGACAATGGTTCAAAGTGGTGCGACCTTGGACACCCGAAATGGTGGCCAAGGAGAGGTTCATATGGATTAGATGCCAAGGGGTTCCATTAAATGCCTGGAGCACTGAATTCTTAGAAAAAATGGGGTGTTCATGGGGAAAATTCATCTGCTTGGATGATAGCACTAGCAAAAGAAGACATTTTGATATAGCAAGAGTCCTAATATCCACTCAGATCATGGACACAATCAAAGTCTCACGGCAAGTTAAAATCAATGGGAGCTTGTACAATCTGAAATTTTCAGAGGAGGAAGTCGCTAATTGCTTCTTCTCCCTTAAATAAGATTTCTTGCCTTCTTTCCAAAGTGATGAGGAGGAATATGAGTCTTGGTCGATCGGCAACGTAATGGAGACACAGGAGTGTGACAAGGCAGAGGATGATGTTCTCTGTCATGAAAAATATACCCACGAAGAAGATGATGACGTGGCGTGGGAAGGAAAAGAGCAGGAATAGCCTACAAAGGAGGAGGAGAAGCTAGGGGAAACAACAGCTGGTAGCTCGTCTCAATCTCAAATTCAAATTCAAAATTTGAATGGTGACAAAAACAGAGCAACGGGCAAATGTCCGGAAAAAGAGAAGGAAGTCATCGAACCGGTATCTCAGGTCGGTATAGTGGATGGGACTCAAATGGGCTTCAAGAACAAACCCAGAAGGAGCTCATTTAAGGAGCCCAATGCTCAAGAAGCAAGCCTAGAGTATCAAGAATCCACTAACATGGGCTTGACCCAAGATAGAAGAGAGAAAAAATCGGCAGACCCAACATACAACAAGGATTGTTTTGGAATTAGGGAAATGTCAGAGGATGAAATTGAAGAAGACGGGGAGGATGGTTATGGAGAGGCTACGAAAAAGATAAAGGACGGGTGGAGGCGTGGATCAACAAGCAGATAAAGGAAACAGCGAAGGGTAAAAGAAGGAAGGCTAGATCATGCAGTTCGGTTTGCCGATGCACAGAGGAGGTCGGGAAGGGCTCAATAAGAAAGAACGATGGAAAAAAACAGAGCATGTAGAGGACAACAGAAAGAAAAGCACCAGAATTTATGCCGAATCCGGACGGGAAAGTAGCAGGGGGTTCGGTTGGTGACAATGGTATATTGAATTGCAACAGATCCATAAAGAAACAGTTGCAAAGCCAGTTAGCAAAGGAGATATGGGATCTTGCGAAGCAGCTTGGCGCGAATGCAGAAAATGAAGTCGATGTCTTGTAGAAAATTGAGGAAATGGAGAAGAGAGACAGCCGTAAGAAAGGGGACATGGCCAATCTGGACACCGGGGGAGCCAAGAAGGTAAGCACAGAACCCCTATGATTCTATTGTCTTATAACATTAGAGGGATGGGAGGGATTGGTAAGAAAAGACAGATTAGAGAAATTATGATGAAGGAGAAAGTAGATTTCATAGCAATTCAAGAGACTAAATTAGTGACAGTGGACAGGAAGATTTGTAGAATAATATGGGGGACAGATGACTTTGACTGGGTAGCTAAACCATCGGTGGGTAGGTCTGGAGGTCTATTATGCATTTGGAATGCTAAGGTGCTTAAGAAAATGGAGGTAATTGAGGGGAATAACTTCATTGGGATATCTGGGTTATGGGGAAAAGAGAGGATACCTATGTATATGCTAAACATTTATTCCCCGTGCCAGTTGATGGGCAAAAGAATTTTATGGGATGATTTACAGGGCCTGATGAACAGTAAAAGAGGGAATTGGTGTTTAGTGGGGGATTTCAATGCAGTGAGGGGAATAGAGGAATGAGCAGGGGAGATGGGGATCAGTTGAGAAATGCAGGAATTTGACAATTTTATCAATAATGCTGCTTTGATTGATTTGCCTTTGCTTGGTAGGAAGTACACATGGTACAACTCTAATGGCTAGTATATGAGTAGAATTGATAGATTTTTGTTATCAGAAGATTGGGTTTCCAAATGGGGTGATGTTAAACAGTGGGAGTTGAGAAGATCAGTATCGGATCATTGCCCCATTTTACTCAAAAATGAGAAGATTGATTGGGGTCCAAAACCGTTCAAGTTTTTTGATGCGTGGTTTGAAAAACCTGGATGCATGGAGTTAATCACAGGAGTGTGGAAATCCAGTGAGGTCCAGGGGCAGAAAAGCTTCATACTTAAAGAGAAATTGAAAAGAAAAAAGAAAGCATTAAAAGAGTGGAGTTGGAACCTAGATGAAGACGTGGATGATAAAGTAAAAGAAGCAGAATCATAGATAGCTGAAATTGATGAGAAAGGAGAGAGTAGCCAACTGACTGCAGAAGATGTTGAAAGGAGGAGGAGAAGCTTTATGGTACTATGGAAAAATCTAAAAATTAAGGAGAGGATGTGGCAGCAGAAGGCAAGGAAGATGTGGTTCAAGGAAAGGGATGCGAATACAAGATTTTTTCATAGATGTGTCAAGGGAAGATAGAGAAGAAATGAAATTAATTGTATTCGGATCAACGGGGAACCTTACACGGGTGTGAAGGAAATAAAGGAAGAAGTGGCTAAGTATTTTAAAGATTTCTTTTCAGAAGAGGCATGGCAAAGACCAAAGCTTGATGGGATTAGAGTTAATCAAATTTCACAAGCCGATAATGAGTTGCTAGTGGCTGATTTTGAGGAAAAGGAGATTAAAGAAGCAATTTGGGACTGCTGCTCTTCCAAATCCCCGGGCTCGGATGGTTTCAACTTCGGATTTGTGAAGAAGATGTGGGAAGACATAAAGGTGGAGGTGATTGACTTTGTGCAGGAATTTTGGGAACATGGCAGACTTGCAAGGGGATCCAACGCATCCTTCATTGTTTTAATCCCAAAGAAAGAAAATCCACAAGGAATTGAGGATTGTAGACCCATTTCGCTCATCGGGATCATGTATAAAATCATCGCAAAATTGCTAGCAAATCGATTGCGAAAGGTGCTGCCAAAGGTCATTGGGGAACAATAGATGGCATTCATTGAAGGTAGACAATTAGCTGATGGGGTGGTGATTGCAAATGAAGTCATCGATGAGGCCAAGAGGAAGAGGAAAAAAAGTTTTCTGTTTAAGGCCGATTTCGAAAAAGCATATGATAGAGTGTGCTGGAGCTTTATAGAATACATGATGATGAGGATGGGATTCTCGAAAAAATGGAGGAAGTGGATTCAAGAATGTCTAAGATCAAGCTCAGTGTCTGTTCTTATTAATGGAAGCCCAACAAAAGAGTTCTCGGCAAGCAAAGGCATTCGACAAAGAGACCCGCTATCCCTTTTCTTATTTTTGATTGTGGCAGAAAGATTGAATGGATCAGTATCTGCAGCAGTAGAGAAGAATCTTTACAAGGGTGTTATGGTGGGAAATGGAGATACAATGATTACACATTTACAGTTTGCGGATGATACTATCTTCTTTGGAGAGGCTTTCGATGAAAACATAAAGGTGGTCAAAGGGATTATGAGGACTTTTGAGTTGGCTTCCGGATTAAAAATTAATTTTGCGAAAAGTCAGCTAATGGGGATGGGAGTTGAAGAAAGTTGGACAACAAGAATGGCTTATAGACTGTGTTGCACACAAGGAGAATTCCTACTTAAATATTTAGGAATTCCAATTGGCGGGAATCACAGAAAAATAGCAATGTGGTATCCAATGGTTCAATCTTTCAAAAAGAAACTTGCTAGCTGGAAGGGTAGACATCTATCTCTCGGGGGTCACATCACGCTCATCAACTCAGTGTTGTCTAGTCTTCCCGTGTTCCTGATGTCCGTCTACTTAATCCCGAAAGGTATTTTTCTTTCCATTGATAAAATTCGTAAAAGTTTTTTATGGGGTGGGGGGGGGAGATGAAAGGAAGGTCAATTGGGTTAAATGGGAGAAGATATGTAAAAAAAAGAGGAAGGAGGGCTGGGAGTGAGGGATTTACGGAAGTTTAATTTGGCTTGGACGGGAAAATGGTAGGGGCGGTTGGCAGAAAACAAAGAGGGGTTATGGAAGAAAGTAATTAAGGAAAGATATGGAGATAGAGAAAAACATTGGTTAGATTGGGTTAAAGAGAATACAGGAGTAGGCTCTATTTGGTGGAGAGATGTGTGACGGCTGGATTCTTTGTATGGAGAGAGTGGAGGGTGGCTGTCAGGGAGTTATAGAATTAAAATGGGGGATGGAAAAAGTGTTAGGTTATGGTGGGATCA